GGCTCAGAGAGCAAAACCTGACATTTCAAAGAGAGAAAGTGATGATTAAAAAACAAGGTTTTATACAGAAAGAGAATAGAGAAAGGAGAAAGGTGATGTGATTAAGGCCTTTCACTGTGATCAGAAGGTTTATTTAACACTTTTCTCATCTTATTCATATTCCTCAAAGTGTTTTCCTTCTAAAATTTATCTTCTTGGATGCTTGGGATGGTGTAAATACATATATATGTGTAGAGAACTATTATGTGTTCTAAGAGAGAAGAACAAGAACCAGTAGAAGATCAAGAACAAGAGCTAGCAGGTGATCATCATCATCAAGATTTTCAAAGATTTCAAGAACACTCATCATCAATCGTTCAACAGATTCAACATCAAAACATGGGTATTAATGATTATTCATATACGTCATCCTCTGAAGTCTCTCCGATCTTGCATCCACAACAGCAGCCATGGATGCTACCTCAAGTATTCCACCATCACAACACTGGTTATAACACCTCCGATCTTCATTTCCCAGGCGGAGACCACGGCACGTATCTCTTCCCTCCACCACCACCTCCGCCGTCATCACTGTCGTCCTATGGTGGTTTGGTTAATAGGAGGGTACCAGGTGGTGGCTTGCAGTTTGCATACGAAGGTAGTACGTCTTCATCGGACCATCACTTGAGGCTCATATCCGAGACACTGGGCCAGATGGTTCAACCAGGGTCCATGCCGTTTGGGCTCCAAGCTGAAATGGGTAAGATGACTGCTCAAGAGATCATGGATGCTAAAGCTTTAGCAGCTTCAAAAAGCCATAGCGAAGCAGAAAGAAGACGTCGAGAAAGAATCAACAATCATCTTGCCAAACTCCGCAGCTTACTCCCCAGCACCACCAAAGTAAGTTCATTATTTGTCTCAATTAGCTAGTAAAACCATAAACAAGTTACCACACACACACATGCATATATAAATCAGTCGATATCAAAACGATGGTCTCAATTCTCACCCTGAATCATGTGTGTTAATTTTGTCTGCATGAAAATTTCAGTTTCTTGTTTCCACATAACAATGTCATGATACCGATTTTGAATTCTTTTACCATATGTTCGTTAATTATTAAGAACACGTATTTTTTCTTCCTTCTTTTGAACATATAATTATGTTATTTCACATTCATAAGCAGACATAAATGGAGTCATGCATATGTTTGAGTTCTTACATGTGAGGAATTCAAAGCAGTTAAAATTAATTGATGATCATTCAATGAATCATGCTTGACTGATCATGATGTATCGATCATGTCCAACCATTGAAAATATCTTATATCACATCAAAGTTACATTGAAAACATCTCATATCACATGAAACTTACATCGATAGCTGCCAAAGGTAACATCCATGTTTGATAAACTGAGATAAGTTAAGTTGTTATTGATAAGGTTCTAATGGTTATTATGTTATTGCTGGTGTGCATTCATCTAGACGGACAAGGCTTCGTTACTAGCTGAAGTGATACAACACGTGAAGGAGCTTAAGCGCCAAACGTCCATAATAGCCGAACAAAGTCCAGTCCCTACAGAGACCGATGAGTTGATCATAGACAACACTTCGGATGAAGATGGAAATCTAGTCATCAGAGCATCATTATGTTGCGAGGATCGCACGGATCTTTTACCAGACCTCATCAAAACCCTTAAAGCACTTCGGCTAAGAACCCTGAAAGCCGAGATCACTACGCTTGGAGGCCGTGTGAAAAATGTGTTGTTCATAACCGGAGATCAAGATGCAAATAGCAACAATGATACGACCAATTACTCGATAAGCATGATCCAAGAAGCATTCAAAGCAGTGATGGAGAAAACAAATGGGGAGCACGAATCTTCTTCTGGGAGTGTTAAGAGACAAAGAACAAATAACATTAATGTTCTTGATCATCGTAGAACATGATCGTATCGATCTCTCCTTAAACGTATGAAACTTTAGGGCTTACACCTTTAAGAATTTCTGTTGTTTTTTTCCCTTAGAGATCTTGGGTTTAAGTCTTTCGTTTGTACTTTTTGTGTGTTTTCCTTGTTTTCTTTTGGGGTCGTTTGTTTGATTAATGGGTATGCTTGATGTGTTGTTGAACCTTTATCATTGGAGAAAAGATGGCAAGTACCATCTGGGTTGTGTCCTTGGGCATTTTCTTATCTCATGAAAAATATATATAATTTATACATACATACATATACATACATATATATATATGTACATAAGAGAGAAAGAGAGAGTGAGAGAGAGAGAGATTTTTCATGAGAGAAACCTTGTAGGAAAACCTAACATTGAAATGTTGATTTAATTTTGGAGTTGTCTATGTTGATCCAAAGTCCAAACTCTACATTTATCGTTTTATAGTAAAACTAAAATGTCTAATCTTTCTAGTGGAATGATTTATACGACTTAAGTTTATAGTATCAACCCAAAAAAATGACATAATTAAAATAAATGTCGTATTAGTTAGTTTATATGATGCTATTTGAAAAATCATCCTACAAAAAACAAGTGTTTAATAAAAAGATGGGTTTATAGAACATTTCTCAAACGAGTCTTATAAAATATTTAATATGATACCTTATTTTTAAAAATATTCTAAAAACATCCTATAAGCCTATTGTAGTAATTTTAGATAAAACGTTTATACTTTGATCCTATAAATTTAAGTTCTATAAAGTATATTAAAAGTTGTTTAGACATTCTAAGCGGCTTATAAATCAATTTTTTCCTAGTGTATTTTAAAAAAGCTGAAAACAAACGTAATTTAGTAAATGTTCTTAAATTGTATGATTATGGCTAGGGACAAGTCTGACCACTGTCTGATCGTTCTAAAGGAGGTTGTTGTCGATTATGGTTCGGTTCCGTTCAGAATTTTTAACTCATGGTACTCACTCGACGATTTTAGATCCTCTGTGGGGAGCGCTTGGTAAGAGGGTTTACTTGAAGTCAGAAAACAAATTAACTGGTTGATTTGAGGAACAAGGAAAATGATAAAAATCCACATCAGAAAGTGGTGGATCAAGAAAAAGAGCTCTTTGGAAGACTACAAAAAGAAAGCTTAGGCGGTGATCGAATAGGTAGACAAATGCATTGAAGTAGGTTTAGCAGATCCGAAGACATGATGAGATCGATGACTGGAAGCCATTAAAATTAAAGAGGAGATATCTAAGGAAAAATAGATTTTTCCCTCAAAGGGCCAAAATCAAAATGGGCGGTGGACGGAGATGAAAACTAAAAATATTTCCATGGAACAATCAATTATGGGAGGAATAGATCTAGAATAGGAGGGATTCTCTCTAATGAAACATGGACGGAAGAACCCGAAGAGATGAAAAAGAATTTAAATCATTCTTTAAAGATAGTTCGGATCCCAATTTAATTAGGCCTAGATGTAGATTCAACATGTAGGGCAATGAAATTATATTTCAGTGCCGGTTGGATCCCAAACGGGTGCAAATCTTCTTTCATATGTCTTATCCCTAAGTATGTGAATCCTCAGATCTGCAAAGACTTCAGATATATCAATCTTGTTGGTTGCATTTACAAAATCATCGCCAAAATCCTTGCAAATAGAGTAAGTCGGGTCATCAATTCTGTTGTTAGTTCTCAATTTGCCTTCACAAAAGGTAAATATATCCTGGACGATGCTCTAATCACTAATGAAATAATCCATTGGGCTAGAAAGAATAAAAGAAAGGTTCTTTTTTTCAAAACCGATTGAGAAAGCGTTCGATACGGTGGACTGGTGTTATTTGGACGAGATTATGTAAGGCATGAACTTCTCGAGGAAATGAAGGAGATTGGTTAAAACTTGCCACTGCTCAGCTTTGGCCTCGGTTTTGGTTTGGTTAACAGGTCTCCAACCTCGTAATTCCGGCTTCGGAGAGGCTTTCGCCAAGGGGATCCTCTATCCCTTTTCCTTTTTATCATTGCCATGGAAGGTCTTCACACGCTCATATCTAAGAACAAAAATTAAATAAAAAGTTTGGAGATTGGCAATGATGATCTTTCTATAACCCATTTATTTTATGCTGATGAAGTGATGTTCATTAACGATTGGTCTAGAAGACGAGAGGATATCTTACGGATTCTGAGATGTTTTTTTTTTCTTACATTAGGGATGCGTTTAAACCTAATGAAAAGCTAATTGTACAGAGTGGGAGCAGGAGCAGGAGCGGGGGAGAACATATATCAATTCAAAGGGCCGCCGCGGAGCTTAAATGTAAAGCCTGACATCTTCCAAGCAAGTATCTCGGGGTACCGTTGGGTGCAAACACATCCAGGGCCGAAGCCTAAGTTCCTATATATTATCAAGAAATTCCACACAAAAAATTGTCAAGATGGAAGGCCAAAGCCATATCGATCGTAGGTAGGCGTGTCTTGGTTCAAGCAGTTCTCGATGGTATAGCAACCTATTTCCTTTCTTTATTCAAAACACCTAAGACAATTATTAATCATTTGGATAGTCTCCAAAGAGATTTTTTTTTGAGGTTCTGATGAAGACATCAGGAAAATTTATTGGGTCAACTGGAGAATGGTTATAAGAGACAAAGAGAACAGAGGTATCGACATTGGAAGTATTCTTGCTTCAAACCTTTCTCTCCTTGCAAAGTGGGCTTGGAAAATCAAGGGCGGCTTCAACTATACTTGGGTGAAAGTTATAAAAGAAATTTAGATGGTGGGTTATCTTCGGATCAAGGATGTCCACGGAATCAATGACCATGGTATCCGAGGTTTGAAGATTCATTGAAAGATGGTGGTCAGTATTCTTTTCCTGCAGGCAAGTCCATGGAATCAATGACCAACGTCATCTTAGCAAGCAAGAACAGTCATGTTAAGAGAGCTTTGGAAGAAGGTTTTTTTTTTCACCAGTTGTTACATTTTGTGGTGTTACCGAAATAGATGTGTCTTCGATAATTCTCCTCCACTTAAAGATTCTCTTTTTGATCAGATTGTGGAGAAATCGTTTAGTTGAATTCTGGCTAGGTGTGAAGGAGTGTCAAAAACTTATTAGTGTGAAGATACAATTCGTCTGATTGTATCAGAAATTTGTAATGCTTTTTGCTCCTCATTTGCTAGCTTCTTGCTAGCTCGTTTACAACCACCATCGGCTACCGACCATCATCACACATTCGCCACCTCCAACTCCTCCTCTACGACAACAATCTCCTTCACCAACATCCATTGCCACCTTTACAACCACCATCTGCTACAGACCACCACCACACATTACCACCACCACTACCACCGTTGGCCACCTCAAAATCCTCCTATACCGCAACAACCTCCTCCATGACCTCCACAACCACCGTTGGCCACCTCCAACTCCTCCTCTACTGCAACAACCTCCTCCACACCATCAGCCACCACCATTCATTGCCACCTCACCTCCACCATAACCACCACCACAACTATATTCACTACATCAATCACAACTACCTCTTGCACCGTTGTCAACCGTCAGGACCACCACAATCCACCATCTTCATGTCCTCTATAACCACCGCCGTCCACCAACCACCACTGTCTCTACCTCCATAACCATCGTCCATTGCCACTACTACCGTCGGCCACCACTACCGTCGACCACCACCACCTCCACCATAACCAAAACCACCTCCACCGCCACCACTGTTACCATCAATTATATCAATTTTTTTCATTCAAATTTGATACCATTATATATGTATGTATTCATTTATATGAAAATTGTGTACAAATATTTTCAAATTAAACTCTTTAATTATTTACTTTATTTGTGTTAACTATAACTATTATATAACATTTAAAATCATCAAATAACTCCTGGAGGTAGCTTGTCTAGTTTTGTCTCATCCAAAACTAGTCGTACTAGACACCAGACATACTTTTGTTATATCCAGTTCTATCATGTCCAGTACTGTTATGTCCTACCTTTTTGTCCTATTATGTCATGTCATATCTTGTCCAATTCTATTCAATCATATCTGCGTACCAAACGCTACCGGATTTTAACCTTAAATCAAGATATGCGGGCCAAGAGATAATATTTGGTAGATAGTAACAGAATTATCGAATGTAAAGATAGAAAGTAGCTTGACTACAAAAACCAATCATCAAACAAAAAGAAAAGTCAAGTCTTAGTGGTCTAGTAATCAGTATTTTATTCTTACAACCCCCCTCTCCTAAATGTCATATTTTGGTTTAAAAAATCCAAACTTCAATTATTAATTGTTAATTATTTTTTATCATATTTACAAATACGTTAATAATATTAATTTAGGCTTACATGATCAATTTATTTAGCTATTGTTTGTTAAAAAATATTTCCTATTAAAGAAATAACGTAAATAAATCGAATAACTTTGCTATACCAATTAACTTTTCAGTCAAAAATACTTAAATCCCTTGAAACCGTAGACGGTCGGGTGAAATTCAGTCCACAAAGTAGTTGCTCATTTGAGTTTGTTATTTTTTTTGTTCGTTGCAATTATATTTTATCAGTTAGTTTTTGACAAATATAAGTAATTTATCAGTTTCTACTTACCAGTTATCTTATTAACTGATAATTGGTTTGTTAACAATACAAAAATTAATAATAACGTTAAAGAAAATTGAAAATATGTGAAGTTAATTATAATTAGGTTAGGATGTTGGGCAACCAATTAATATTCAAGTGATATATGCATGTATATTGTATATTATAATGAGAAGATGACGTTGAAGTAGACGTCAGCATGACGTTATTGAGTTTGTGGAGGAAATTGAAGTGGGCGAATCAAAAAGACTGACGACGCATATTTGGGGGTTCAGAGGCTGTGATGATGGGTTCAGTTCTGTTATCAACATTGTAGTTTTGACCATGATCTCATCTCCTCTTCTGCCCCCTTTTCATTTTCTGTTTTATATATTCTTTTCATTTATTTATATATATTTAGGACGATAATTAACAATAATTATAAAAAAGTTATAAATCTGTAAGAATCGATATAAAAATATTTTTTTTATATAAAAATATTTTTTTATATTATTTTTTATCAAAAGTTATGATTTAACGTTATTGGTTCATATATGTTTGTGTTTACCTTATACAAGAATTGCATGTGAAACTTTTTTTTGTGATTCACTTAGTTAAACGAAAAATGCAC